TTATTATATAATAATTTACACATCCTGTTTGGTGTGTATCTCCTACCATATCATTATTATTTGCTTTTAAATATTAATCAGAAATAACCAACTTAAAATGGAAAATTTTAAAAGAAAAAAAAAAGGAAAAAAAAAAAAAAAAAGAAAAAACCCCCCCCCCCCCCCCCCAAATTTTTTGAACCCCCTTATGATTCATCACCCCCAAACTCAATCCCAGCCTTCCCTTTGTGGTATGGTACCTTGCAGTACAATTTCAGAGAGATCCATACACTTGAACACAAGTTATTGTCTGGAAACTAGAAAAATGCTTATTTTTGGCCCCTTTTTGGCCCCCAATTCCTAAACGTTTCGGGCAATTACCCCCAAACTCAATTCCAGCTTTCCCTTTGTGATATGGAACCTTGTAGTACAATTTCAGAAATATCCAAACACTTACACACAAGTTATTGTCATGAAACTAGAAAAATGCTTGTTTTTTGCCCCTTTTTTGGCCCCTAATTCCTAAAATTTTGAGGCAATTACCCCCAAAATCAATTACAGCCTTCCCTTTGTGATATGGAACCTTGTGTTACAATGTCAGAGAGATCCATACACTTACACACAAGTTATTGTCTGGAAGTTACAAAAATGCTTATTTTTGGCCCCTTTTTGGCCCCTAATTCCTTAACTTTTGGTACCATAACCCCCAAAATCAATCCCCACCTTCCTTTCGTGGTATTGAACCTTATGGTAAAATTTCATGGAGATCCATTCACTTAAACTAAAGTTAGAGTGCGAAAACCAATGTGTCTTCGGACGACGCCAGACGACGACGACGACGACGCCAACGTCATACCAATATACGACCAAAAAATTTTCAATTTTTGCGGTCGTATAAAAATGAATAATTATTTGTTTTCCTGGTAAGTTTAGGGTTTAGAATTTAAAATAGCTTTCTCTTCCTTTACTTTGCCCTTGCTTAATATGAGGATTTAAAAATACTATTGAAAAGAAAATGTTTTCCTTTTGCAGGTAGTATTTCTTGTTATTTTAAAGGACATATTTATCATTTGTAAGTGGTATATACATGTATGCATTATAATAAACTGTTGTTTCAGTCATATTTCTCATTACACCAATAATTTAATGGTCTTTATTGAAAAAAAACTTAGTATATGTATGGACTTAATATCTGCAAGAAAATTTGGACGCAAGCTTAAGGCTTGCTTCCCTCTAAGACTGAAGTTCAAAAGTTCAAGGGCTATGAAATCAATAGGTCAGCCTGACTTGAGCATAACATGATTAAGAAATTGACAATGGATACACTTCAAGACAAATGGAAGGGCATGATAGAAAAGGAAAACATGTAATGGTTTATACTTATATAGGTGGGGCTAAACAATTGCAATGGTGTGACTACAAGCAAGTTAATTTGTAAAAAAAATTTACTTGTGGTTTTTCAATTACTTTTCATGATCAAGAATAAAAATTTAAGGACAAATTTTGGAACTGAATTACAAATAAAAAATTAAAAATATTTAGGATTTATTTAAATGTAATTCTAGATTAAGTTATAATTTAACATAATCTAAACATTTCCAGATTTAAGAATATTCTAATTCAAAACATACTAAGTACACTTGAAAACTTTACTGAGAATCAGTAATACATATATAACTTTACTGAGAACCAGTAATACATATATATTATATCTTCACCAGTTGTATTTTGAGAGAACAAGATTATTAACCCTCGTATGATTTGCAAGCTATATTTAAGAAACATGCAAGGTGTTTCTTTTGTTGTATTGATTCAAAATATATATACATTCAAATACATGCTTTGAAGAAAGTCAGCCAAGTGGAAATAAATTAGCCCAAAGGCACTGACTTTAAATAGTACTGAATTATGCATCAAGTTAACATTATATCAGGTGGAGAATTTTCAACAAAAAAAGTTATTGCTCCAACAACTTCAAAAGAAATAAATTAGCCAAAATCAGAAACAGACTATAAATTGGCTTGTCAATAATTAATCTTTTGTGGTATTTTGAAATAGACTATACATTGATTTTTCCACATTGCACAGTTATGTGAAAAAGACTATACATCTTTTGTACAGCTTGGCAGTTCAGTAACCTAACAAACCCACAAAATCAATATAAATGGAATCTTCTAACCTAATATATGCTTTCCCTATGAAACTGGTTGGACTAGTCTTGTTTACTTGCTATATGTACTTATTATCTATACAAAAAGCAAAGGTCAAATGACTGGAGAATTCTTTCAATCTTGGCATGTAGCCAACTAATATTTAATTGGCTAGGTAAGCATTCAAGCAAATAAAATGCAAGTATAACAGGTGATGGTTTATTTTAAAATCTTCAATAAGTAATTTTCCTGATTCTAATTAAGCTCTTTGATCTACAAATGTATAGCAAGTATATTGATTATGTTGAAACCTATAACTTTTTCTGGTTCAAATAATAAGATACAATTTATATAATGTCCAAATGATTTAAAAAAAAGAAAAGAAAAGAGGAAATAATACAATTGTTGCTTATGATGAAAAATATTATAATGCTGCAAGTACTTGTAATATAAACATACTCTGTGTTATCTGTACTTCGTTAAACCATAATCCCATAAATGTATTGCATATATCTACATGTACATAACTGTATTTTTAATAGGACCAAATCAAATGAACACTTAAATTAAAATTCCTTCTTGAGCAAATTTAGAAAACAAAAAATCATTAATAGCTGAATAATGCTTCTTATTATAGTTTTTTTTTTCTAATCTTAACAAAAGTTTGTTGTATCTAGGACCAGGTTGAAAATCTTCCTCTAAATAAGGAATTTGAAGAAGAAATACTTTCAACAAAAAATAAGTCCTTTTTCACCTCTAGAAATTTATATAGACCACCTTGCATAATTAAAAAAATATGACCTATTTCCCTGTCTCATCTTACAATCTTACATAAATGAATGTAAATCATTTTGTATGTCAAGTCTCCACCTACAGATTTTTCTACTGGATAAACATGTCTGACAACCAGTATTAGGCATTATAGATTTTTAAACACTAAAGCAAATTATTGTTTCCCTCATCCTGTTTGGATTTTCCCAACAATAGACTAATCCATTATAGTTGGCATGGACAGCTGCCAGAGATATTAATCATACTGGTAATAACATCTGGATATAGCTCAGTGACCTTCACCTACACTTAACACATGTCTCCAGGGGGCTATCATAATGTATTGGATATTCTATTCAATAAATCAACATAATATGGTAAGGTCCAATGAACCTGAAATTAATTGAACTTTGACCAAACTACAGCTAAACTTGGCTTAACAGGACCAAAAACATTATAACACCAGTGCCAATTTTGGAAAATTCTCCTGTAAAATAGGTCATAACTGATTTTTTTTTCAATTTTGATAACATGTACATTCTTTTTAAAAAATTAAGTCATATAGAGAAAATTTTAAGGTACAGAAATATTCTAGCAATATATAGTTAGTCTCCATTCTTCCTTGGTGTTAGTTTTGAAGCAACAATCAATCAATGCCTTCTTCCTAGGCACAAAACAAGCATTTATATCCCTTCTTCCTAGACACAAAGCAAGCATCTATATCCCTTCTTCCTAGACACAAAGCAAGCATCTTAGTATATCCCTTCATCCTAGACACAAAGCAAGCATCTATATCCCTTCTTCCTAGACACAAAGCAAGCTTCTATATCCCTTCTTCCTAGAGGATACAAAGCAAGCATCTATAATCCCTTCTTCCTAGACACAAAGCAAGCATCTATATCCCTTCTTCCTAGACACAAAGCAAGCATCTATGATCCCTTCTTCCTAGACACAAAGCAAGCATCTATAATCCCTTCTTCCTAGACACAAAACAAGCATCTATATCCCTTCTTCCTAGACACAAAGCAAGCATCTATAATCCCTTCTTCCTAGACACAAAGCAAGCATCTATAATCCCTTCTTCCTAGAGACAAAGCAAGCATCTATAATCCCTTCTTCCTAGACACAAAGCAAGCATCTTTAATCCCTTCTTCCTAGACACAAAGCAAGCAACTATATCCCTTCTTCCTAGAGACAAAGCAAGCATCTATATCCCTTCTTCCTAGACACAAAGCAAGCATCTATATCCTTTCTTCCTAGACACAAAGCAAGCATCTATATCCCTTCTTCCTAGACACAAAGCAAGCAGCTATATTATCCCTTCTTCCTAGAGACAAAGCAAGCATCTATATCCCTTCTTCCTAGACACAAAGCAAACATCTATATCCCTTCTTCCTAATAAGACATTAGAAAAGTTGTACAATGTAGGTGTGGTTGGTCAATGTGCTAACTATATGTACTTACGTGCTGAATTTTTACACATACAATTTCACACAAGACTGGTCAACTGGACATTTACATAGATTCCAAATACACATGTATCTTACAAACTACATGGTAAAAACATGTATTCTTAAAAACAGAGTCCTAATCTAATTAAATGACCAGTAATGTTGATACTATAATTTTCATATTAAATAACAAATATTAATTATAATTGTTAGTATTTCCATAAATTCAGCTGACAATGAGTGATCTCAGGTATCTGACAATCAATATACTAGTATTCACAACTATTCAGCATGAACAAAACTTGACAGGAACATTTGGCATTATAATTAGAAAGATCTTATCATAGGGAACATGTGTACTAAGTTTCAAGTTGATTGGACTACAACTTCATCAAAAACTAAATTGACCAAAAACTTCAACCTGAAGCCAGACGGACGCAGAGACCGAAAAACATAATGACCATAAATGGGCCATAAAAATATCTATCTCACTAAATAGTTTTCATAATATCACAATCGTGTAGGAATCAGTCTGCTTAAATTTTACTATAATATACTATTATGACAGTTTCAATTATCAAAATTATCAGTTTCTGACAATAATAACATATCCAGAATTAAATAAACAAAAATGGAACAAAGTTCTTACTACAACTTTGTGAAGTTTCTCCTTCACCATTTGTGTTGCTTGGCTCTGACTTGACATTCTGTGTCTTGACTGCTGCCTGCTTTCTGGACTCGACAACATCAGGCATGACAGCATCAATCAGGGACAATGTCTCAATACAACGCTCAGATCCATCCTGCAAAACCAATAATAACGGAAATTATCTACGGGGCTCTTTTCCCAAAAAATTCTTATGATAAAAATTTATCGTAAGTTATACTGAAATGCTCATGACTTTATATGAGTATTTTATCTCGCAAGAGTTTTTGTGAAACGCATCGCAGATATCTATTTACTAAAAAGGTTAATTTAAGATACAAAATGTTTTACCAGCTGCAATATTTCAATTCCTAAACAGGACAGGAATTGAGTCATAATCAATTTTTAATTGTGTTTCTTTTAGTGATGTCACTAACATTCTGACTATTGTCAAGTGAAAAATTTAGATAATTGAACAAATATTACACAAAGACTAGTACTCTTCAGCATGAAATGTTAGTCAAAGTGACTCACAAACAATTTACTATAAATGAAGATTATAACCATAAATATAATTGACATAATATCATATAGTACTGAGGAGAAGATTTAATGTGACATATTACCATGATTACTAAACTACCGGTAAATACATGTATGTCAGAAAAATCATAAAAGCAAACTATATGCCCATTCTACTTTTAACCAAAATATCCATATAAGTATATGTGAACTTTTTTGACATACATGTACCTAATACTCATTCATACTTTGGTATTTTAAACTGGGTTCAACCCAAAATTACTTAATCCAGGTTAAATTTAAGTAAAATGAACGTCTCAACCTGGGGCGAATCAGGATTAATGTTTAAAATACCCCTAATTTTAGATAAATATGGGGTTAGTTGCGTCTCATTGTCGTTTTGTACGTTAAGTTCATTTCATTGCTGTAGCGACAAATGATGTTTGCTTTCTGTAATTGTAATATACATGTAGAGAAGCCAGATCACTGATGTACATATAGCAATAGAATCACTTCTAAGCAAAAAATGTAGTCTTAAATGGAACAAGGAGACAAGTATCTTACTTTCTATATAGACAGAGAGCAAGGTACAGGTCTGAGGAAGAGCCCTACTCTCCCACAAAGAAGTATTTGTAAACATAGAAAGGAAGATGGGTAGTGCAGATTCGTATCAAAACTGCACAGGAGTGCTGACAAAGAATTAAAACTTTGAAAATTGCAACTGTGATTCAAAGAATGTAAACAAATTCAGTGGACACATGCAAGAAACAATTTTGTCCTTACATATCTATTTTTGTTAAGGGGGAAACCCCAACGTAGGGTTATATCATTTAACTATTAGTAGGTGTGAACAGAGGTAATCAATCCAGTTAATTATCGACTTGATGCAGATTTAATAGTGTGAACAGGGAATAACTGTCAAAATCTTAAGATACAAATAGTATTGAAGAAGAAGTTCTAAATACTAAGACTACTATATTCATTGTCAAAAGAAAACTTCCATGTTCTGCTCCTCTTTTTTCTAATATGACATAAACAATATCATTGAGTATGCATAACCATACCTTTTATTTATCATACAGGGGTAAATATTCAATTGTTTCAATAAAATATATTTCTTGAATTTAAACCCAGTAAGCAGAGACCAACATTAAATGGACATGCATATGACAGTAATGAGACACATGAGAGTGGAAAGACACATCCATGCTGATGGATTTGGATAAAGTACCTTCAAAGTTCAGATAAACAAACAGATTAAAAATTAATAAACTATTGTGATACATCACACCATGGTAAATCTGTTTTCCATAGCTAATATGATGTACATGACTTTTGCCCTGAGGCATCATCTAACATTAAAGAAAATAACATAGTTTCAATTTTGCTGACATGACACTGTTGTGACCTCTTTAATAGATATAGATGTGAAGACAAAGGTTTAATCAATGGCCTCAAGAATTCCTTATTCCTTTTATTTTCATATAAAAATCACAATTTTCCCCAAATAGAATTTTGTGGTAAATTGGAATGAAAAAATTTCATCAAATCTGTGTAAAAATGAAAGAATGTGTAGTTTTTTTTATAAATTAAATTTGATTGATTTATACAGTAAATTTTGAAAAGAAAATTAGTATCATTAGAATATTAATGTGAAGAAAAATAAATTATAAACAATTAACAAACTGTGGAGGAATCTGAAAGATTAACCACTAAGACTGACAATCCAAGCAAAAATTATAAACTGACTCGGCAAAACTAGTGGGTGGATTTATACATTTAAATTGAAGTCAGCATGGTCAGCTGATTATGTTTCATTGAACATTGAAATATCTGTGTTTGCTGGGATCCATTAAAATAAACTGCTTCGCTGAGTGCACCTGGATACCCCGCAGAGGTCCAACCATGAACAGTTGGGGAAAAAATGGACACAATATTCAAGCTTGATACAGGTCTGAATTGGGATTGTATTAAATATTTGACATATTATAGGTTTCTGAATAAATGTAGGCAAAGAACTTGAAATTGGTTATATAAATTGAATTTATATTCAATTAAAGATTTCTTGCTGTTGTGCAATACACTGTGCTGTTGTGCAATACTTAGTAAATCTGTTGTCAGACAAACAATTAAAGTTCAATTAATTCTCAATGTCATATTAGAAATTTATGAAAATGTAAAGGGAGCTTACATGCGTACATCAATAGATATAAACAATTCACCAAAGTTTCATGAGAATTGCTGACAGCATTTTTGAGTTATTGTCTGAAAACTGGAAAATCCCCCTCATAACTCAGAAATGTCATATGTAAAATTTATAAAATTCTAGACGGAGCTTACATCAATAGATATAAACAATTCACCAAAGTTTCATAAGAACTGCTGAAAGTATTTTAGATTTTTTGTCAGAAAAACTGGAAAATCCACCTTTTTTTATGAATAAAACCCTGTAACTCTGAAACGTAAAATCTAAAATATATAAAAATCGAAAGGGAGCTCATTTCAATAGATATAAACAATTCACCACAATTTCTTGCAAGTTGGTGAAAGCATTCTTGAGTTATTGTCCAAAAACTGGAAAATCCCCCTTTTTTTAATGATTAAAACCCCTTAACTCGGAAACATAAAATCTAAAGTTTATAAAAAACGAAAGGGAGCTCACGTCAATAGATATAAACAATTCACCAAAGTTTTATGCAAATTGGTTAAAGCGATTTTGAGTTAATGTCTGACATGTTGACGACGGACGGACAGACGGTCAATGGTATACCATAATACATCCCGTAAACGGGCGTATAAAAACCTTGTAAAACTGGAACACAGTAATAGGTCTTATAAACCATGTAAATATAAAACAGTTTCTGATTGTGTTACCATCTACATGTATGCTCTCATTTGATCTTAAATTAGTCCATGTTTTAGATGAGGATCATTTACCAGAATTCAGCTTATTTTAAGTATTTCACAAAATCAAATTAATCCATTAGGTGATACGAGTAGTTACCTCTGCAATGCTTATTTCAGCCTCTGTATACTGTAGGCCCTTTTGAATGATGTTCAACAATGCTGCTGGTGGCACCAGTGCTCCATTGATATTAGACTGACTAATATGGCTTTCAATTCCAAAAGTATAAGCTGAGTGCACAAAACCTTTAATAAAATTTATATCTAGATTTAAAGAAGTAACAATCAGCAAGTTCTTGTATACTGTGTAGAATAATGTAGTATATGATATGCACTTGAAGATAAAGGAGAAGTTAAGATTTGAGGTCAGATTGGCCCTAAAATCAAGCTTACTGTATATAAAATAAAATGCTCCACAGGGTGCTGCTTGATACGACTGCAGAGGTCGACCCCTGAAATGTTTCAGCAAGTATGGACACAACATTCGAGCTCGATACAGCTCTGAATTTGGATTGTGATTAAATAGTTGACACAGCTTAGATTTTTGACACAGAATGAATGTGATCTAAGAACTTTAAAATTTGTAATTGGACATCCAACATCCAAAATCTAAATACATGGTTAGATTCGGCATATTAAAGAACCCCAAGAATTCAAGACTTTGAATAAAACCGCATTGCATTTGAAATTGGTAAAAAAATAAGCAATTTACACAAAGTACACATTAGAAAAGTATTGTTTTTGGACACTAATTCCAGGGCTCACGCTACCATGTGACTGGGGCGACAAAGTTGCTTTCCCATCCGTCACTTCACTTTGCCCGACCGTCAAAAGCGAAATCTAGTCGCCCTGTTGTTCACGATACTCGCTTTCAGTCGTTTTCGTCATCGGCAATATTCAATATTTACCAAGTCGATTAAACAGCAATTTTTCATTTAAAAGTAAAGAAATTCAAAGACATAAATGATTTATTTTCTGAAGAAAAGAGGTTAAAGCATTGATTTTAAAGTTGGTTGCATGTTATTTTCATAAAGACAATTTTTTTATCACTTCCAGTACTTGTTACTCGAGAGCGTACATCAAATCATTCTAACTTTCGACAAAATAAGTTTGTTACTTCACTAGAACGTGATGAAATTTGCCTGAAGTAAATTTGTTATTCATATATTGCATTAAAAACGTCATATTCCTTTCCAAATAGCGTGTCAAACATCGTTTATTTTTGTAAACTTTCTTAGTCCGCCATTGAAATTATTGGGCAAATTATTGTACAACTACGGATCAGAGTCGGATTTCATCGGAAACAGACCAGCTATGACCGATATCCGGATTCTTATGATAATGACTACGGACGCATGAATGGCACAGCTGACAGAAGAAAATTGATCCAAAAAGGAATAAACTGTTAACACAGAGATATGTCTCGCCTATTTGTTATTTTGATAATGCAAATTGAAATTAAAATAGCAATACTTTAACATGTAAGTTATGCAAATATTCAAAGTCAATGAACCATGACTGAAGGTACAGGGCTAAACAATCTCTATGGAAATGAGATGTGCCAATGGTATTACAACTGCAAACCAAATACCATTGACTTTTCATAAGTCGTTCCCTTTAAACTGACCTAATCACAAACTAATACATGTAAACTAAGCAAAATTTCAAAGTCAATAGACCTTGACTGAGGGGACGGGGCCAAATAATCTCCATGGTAATGAGATGTGCCAATGCTAATACAACTGTATACCAAATATCATTGACCTACCACTAGTGGTTCCTCATGAACTAGGCCTAATCACAAACTAATACATTGTTGATGCCGCCGCCGGAAACAGCATACCTATGTCTCGCTTTTTGACTCCGTCAAGGCGAGACAAAAATTACGCATTCCAAACGCATTAAAATACATTTGGTTAGATCTACTTGATTAATGTATATATTTCCATGTATATCATGAATATGCATTGTTTCAATTTATAAATTAATATCAAAGTTGCTCAACTCAGGGACTATTACACTAATATAATTATATTATGTCCAAGCTTAAATGTGTTAAATAAAACTGTTTAATTTATATATCTTTTTAATGAGAAATACTTAATTTTAAAAACATGATAACAGAGTAGTTTTTTTAATTGATTTTTCTTTTCCTTTTTGATATTGCCACATATTTAATTGTTTTTTTCTGACAAGAGGACTAATATGATTGTGCATTTAGATAGGATAAAATTAAACAACTTCGAAGTTGAACTGTTACTTTAATTGTATACCCAGGTACAAATTGAACAATATGATAAAAAAATAAGATACATAGGGCCTTTGTATTATAGTAAAAACCAAACATTGTAGCGCTGCGAGCAAACGAGCACTTCTCTTTCAAATCTCACCACTTCTCCCTATGATTCTGAAGTAGTGTGAGCCCTGCTAATTCCTGAACAGTTAGGGCCATAACCCCCGAAATCAATCCCAACTTTCCCTTTTTTTGTATGGAACCTTGTGGTACAATTTCATAGAGATCCAGATAAATTTGCAAAGAAATGTTACATCTTTATACTATTTTTAACACCATGTATATAAATAAAACATTTAAGTTTTACTTACTCGTGTTACTAGGGTTATATAGCCAAGAAATGACAAAACATAATAACACATAAATACAGACGGTCCTTTTGGGCACAGATGCACCTGCCTATAAATCATAAGTACCTGTAGAATCGTTTATTTCTGAAGGAAAGGGTTAGGAATTAGCTTCTAAGTTGAGACTAAATACCCAAGTTTTAGGTAGTAAGTGCATCATATAAACTGTACAAGAATCACCCTATGTAAGCTGCTATGGATGATATTTTAACTCCAACTTTATCATCTAGAAATAGCAGTTAAAGTATTTTCACCTTATTAAAACTGCAAATTTAAAAGTTTTCATACGTATTCTGAAATTTGTCATAACTAGGCATTTCCCAACAATATGTGCAAATTTGAAATAGTTGTCAAATATCTTATTTTCTTGGGTCAAAACCAGGCCTTAATGCCCCTACTCCTTTATAAAATTCTAAAGGGAGCTTACATCAACAGATATTAACAATTCACCAAAGTTTCATGAGAACTGCTGAAAGCATTTTTTAGTTATTGTCCGAAAACTGGAAAATCCCCCTTTTTTTATGAATAAAACCCTGTAACTCAGAAACGTAAAATCTAAAATTTATAAAAATCGAAATAGATATAACAATTCACCAAAATTCCTTGCAAGTTGGTGAAAGCTTTCTTGAGTTATTGTCGGAAAACTGGAAAATGCCCCCCTTTTTTAATGAATAAAACCCCAAAACTCGAAAACGGTAAATCTGAAATTTTTTAAAAACGAAAGGGAGCTCACTTCAATAGATATAAACAATTCACCAAAGTTTCATGCATATTGCTTTAAGCTTTTTTGAGTTAATGTCCGACAATGGACGGACAGACGGTCAAAGGTATACCATAATACGTCCCGTAAACTGGCGTATAAAAACATACAAGACTAACAAAGGCAAAAGGCTCCTGACTTGGGACAGGCGCAAAAATGCGGCCAGGTTAAACATGTTTTGTGAGATCTCCCCCTCCCCCCATACCTCTAGCTAATGTAGAATAAAGAAACACACAGCAATACGCACAGTAAAACTCAGATTAAAAGAAGTCAAAATCCGATGTCAGAATAAGGAACAAAAGAAACTTAGCAAAATGACAATGATTATGATACATGAATTAACAAAGGACTACTAGCAGTTACTGACATGCCAGCTCCAAACCTCAATTAAACTGATTGAAAGATTATGTCTAATTACACCTCATCCTATGTTCAATTACATGTACTCCTTTAAATATTCCCAAATTTTTAACGAGTTGGTGATGCTTACTAAAATATATGCCCAATGGAGATAAAAACTGAAGTAAGCAGAAGTTGGTCAAATTTGAACTGGATCTGTGTTGAGTGGTCTCTAACAACATCTCTAATTTTCATTTTATTTAGCGTAGCCTTACTCAAGTTAAAATCTGGAAACCAATTTTTGTATATACATGTACAAGTTGAAAAGAAAAATTATCTTGACCTATATGTACATGTACAAATGTATGTTGAGAAATAACATGGAACAAATTAAAACCACAAGCACTTGCCTCTGAAAAAAATTTACCTATATATATTGTTTAAAGCATATATAGGTAATTTTTTCAGAGACAAGTGCCTGTGATCAAAACCGTTGTCAATGTGAGTTTTCTGCTTTTCTTTGTGAAACAAAAAATCAATGTAGGCTATGCATGTGCTCTACATGTCTATGTAAACAAGAAATGATTGTAACAGGATGCTGTTACGAAGTCTCCCAAACGAAGCTCCCATAATTCGTAATTCCCAGGGTCGCCTGACATTGGGCAACGTCCAGTGAAAATTGGTTTGGTCCAGTAAAGTTATATGCATTAGTGATGCCTGGGGACTAAACTTGTATATCATTCAAATCATCTTGGCATGAAAAACCAGAATATATATGGTTTATGGGTGGGGATCTCAACCATTTACAAGATACTAGAATATTGGGGGTGGGGAGGAACCCCTGGGGACTGGCCTATACGTCATTCAAATGTTCATTACATGACGAACAGGAATATATATGGTTTAGGGGTGGCGATCTCAACCATTTACAAGATATTAGAACATTGGGGGTGGGGGGAACCTCTGGGGACTGACTGTATACGTCATTCAAATGTTCGAGACATGACAAATAGGAATATATATGGTTTAGGGGTGGGGATCTCAACCATTTACAAGATATTAGATCTTTCTCAAATGGCAGGGGGTCGGGATGACCCCTGGGGACTAACCCTGTCTATCATTCAAACCATCTCAGCATGACAAACCAGAATATATATGGTTTAGGGGTGGGGATCTTGACCACTTAGAAGATATTAGAACTTTCTTAAATGGCAGGGGGTGGGGGTGACCCCTGGAGACTAACCCTGTATTTCATTTGATGTGCTTTATCATGACAAACCAGAATATATATGGTTTAGGGGTGGGGATCTCGACCAATTACAAGATATTAGAACTTTCTCAAATGGCAAGGGGTGGGGGTGACCGCTGGGGACTAACCCTGTATAACATTTGATGTGCTTTATCATGACAAACCAGAATATATATGGTTTAGGGGTGGGGATCTCAACCATTTACAAGATATTAGAACTTTCTCAAATGGCAGGGGGTTGGGATGACCCCTGGGGAC